AAAAATTTTAAATTTTCCTAAAAAAATAGAAAAATTTCATTTTAATCCGATTTCATTTTAATCTGCCACATTTATTATAAAAAATCAAACCGGTCCTTAACGTTAATTCGATAGTAGATTTTTGCGTTACACAAATGCAGTATTGAATTTCCTTAAAGATTTTTTTGAGTTGAAATTGGGATTGCACATTTTATTTTGATTGTTGACAATTCTAAATTTTGTTAATCTGAAGAGTTGTAACCAACTTAGGCATCTTTTCCAATTAAATTATCTTTTTTAAAAAAATTGTCTATTTCAAAAATGATTCAACTCATTAATACAAGATGGGATTACACAGAAATTTTTACAGGTTATTTATAAAATAAGTACGCTCGAAATTTTTCATTAATATAAGTTTGGAACGTTTGATTAATAAAAGATACTAAATTTTATTAAAAAAGAATTTTATCCAATATGCATAGCCCTTTCTGGCAATTCATGTTCAGCCAGAAAAGGAATTTCAACATCATTGATAATCAATGCTTTCTTTTTCAAATCAATGCATGCCTACCAATTATTTTTGATGAAGATTTCAGTTTCCTTATTTCAATTATAATAGACTATTCAACGTAGTACGGATTTAACAGTTTATAAACAAACCTGGTGACACATTAACATGTCCAGTCCGAACAGTACGTCGTGGCTCCCCTGTGTACAAAATTCAAATGTTAATTTAAAAAAGTAATATAATTATATAATAAAATTTTAAAAGTAAATTAATTCTTGCAATTCCTATGTTACAATGTTGTATGATGGGTTCCAGATAGAATATAAATGACTTTACAAACCTGCATAATCATAAATGAGCATTCCAATGATAATGGTAAATTCTTAACATCAATGTCAATGTAATGAATACGGCCTGTAATTTCGGCAGTTCCGACTCCTATAGCTTGTCCGGCACATCGTTGATCAACCAGTCTCATAATCCTATGTTTCGTAATATTTAATGAATTATAAAGAATTATTTAACCAATAAATATTTAAACACAATATCAATGCTTACCCGCATTTTTCAGCACATTGAGGACTCACTTAATGCAATTTTAGTGTAAGAGTTATTGTAAACATAATAAAAAATTGAAGCTTGCATTTATACTTACTAATAGTACTTTGTGCACCAGAATCCACAAAAGCTTTGATTGGATGCCCATTTACTTCAATGTCAATGTATAACATTACTACCTGGATATAAATTTTTAATACAGAAAGATTTCACTGAGCGTAGGTAATACGTATGAGTGTTTTAAATAAAGCAAATGGCCACTTACTGGAGCGAAGAACTGGGGAATTAAATCCAAGGCTTTTTGTTTATTTCTTTCAACATTTTCCATTCTTATTCCTTCCTCGATCTTTCGCTGATCATCAATATTTAGAGGATCATTATGGATATTCTAAAAAGATTTTAAAATACTTAATTTAATAAACATTATCGTTGCTTAATCAAAATTTTAACGAAGTCTACAACCTGTTGCATCTGTTGACTACGTTGGTTCATTTGACGGACCAATGTGGCAAATTGTGTTGGTCCAGTAAATGCCGCATTAAATAATTCAGGTTGAGTCTACAAATAATAAATATAAGTAATCCTTTCAACTATTGATAAATTAAAATAAATTACTTACATGAACAAACGCATCTGATGTTATTGTCGTGAAATTTGAGGATCTTTCTAGATCTGCTGTCGCATTAATTCTATGTCTGGTGGTTTGCTAAATTATGTTAATAAATTTATTAGGTAAGTAACTGGTTCATTTGAGCTTAAAAAATTATCAATATGAAACTCTCGATTTACTCTCTAGGTATGGTTTGAGATGGATTTTTTCTAATCAACAACATGTCATTTTCAAGGACGTTATATTGTTCAAGAGTTTTTTTTGGATCTGCTAGTTCTTGACCATGATAAGAAATAATTTGATCAGCGGGTGGTATTCCTGTCTAATATTATATGAGAACACAGTAAAGTGTTTTAAGTGTTAAAAATCAAACTTATTAAATTTATTATCAGAACAACGTGAATATTCGAACCTCAGCTTCAATCAAAGCTTTAAGATTTTCTAATTCGATTTGAGAGTCCACTTCTATATTATGGATTTCGCCCGCTTCGGTAATAACTGCGATTTTCATTCTTCACAAGAGAGCGACATAATAAGAATTCACGTCTTACATTAAATATAAATACGAGTCGACCAAGGCGGCCACGGATCAGTGGCGCAGCTAATAATTTACCAATCAGAATTGTATAATGATAATCGATATCAATTTTTAATAACTAAGATCTTGTCATATTTTTTGCTGCGGCTGCACCATCGATCAGCACTTCGGGGGGCCGCCCTGGTCGACTCAATAAATACAATAACACCAAGCAAGTGTACTGTACGTACTTCAAAAATTATGCAGTACTTGGTGTTCTTCAATAAAGTAAAAGTGCGATTTTGGAAGCTAGAATGTTGATTTCGATTCACGAATGTTTCGCTATTTCCTTTACAGACTCCGGAAATATGGTGAGAAAGAAGCAAATCGATTACTTTATATATGTTGTAATCTGTTCAATAGTTACACCGGATCCGGATGGTTCACTATCTACTTTAAAAGCTGTGTAATTTAATAATGCCTTATTAAGTTACTTTCTATTGTTGGTGTTATTAATCGATATTGTTTGATCGCGGAGATTGGTGTTAAAAATACAAGTACCAATTAAAAGCAACTCCTGAATAAAGCAACCCTTCCGATTCTGAAGCCGAAATCTGGAAGTGGATATTATACTTTACTAATAAAATTAGACTCCGACATAACATTTTAGCTAGGTAATATATGGTATATTAAAAATTTTACTATTCGTATTTTAATTATTTTTGGCCAGAATTAGAATTTTAATTTTAGCCAATATAATTTAGATCGAAATTATAAATTTTCTACGTACCCAACTTTGGTACATAATGAATGCCATATAAAGTTTAATTAATGAATTACCGCCAACCCGGTTTTTTATTTGTTATTTGGTATTTTTTTCTAGAAAATACTGCAGTACTGTATCAAAAACAAGGAGTACTTTATAGAAAATAACATAAAATTTTGTATAAAAAACTAACTCGGCCGAAACAGCTAATTAACTTCATATGGTCTAACATATATACGGGTTTTTTCTTAATTATACATTATATATATATACAGTATTTGTAGTATTTGTTATTATACGATAAAATATATCTTTGTACGTATATATTTATTATAACTTATATATAGTTTGTATAAAATTTTTTTTAGTATTTAGATTTAGAATTATACTGTATTTAACTGTTAAGATTTAAAGAGGTTTTTAAAATATAAAATATTTTTATTTAGAGTATCCTATTAATATTTAATTTTAAAATACTATAATATATATACTGTATATATTTGTATCTAGTGCTCCGCAAAATCAAATCAAAATTTGAATTTGAATCAAATATTTGAAAAGTTTGATCAAATATTCAAATTTTGATTTGATTTTGCGGAGTATCTTTATATATATTAAGTATAATACAGTATTAAAATAAAGCTGAAGATTAAAATTAAAATTAGAATTAAAATTAGAATAAATTGCAAAAAAATTTTTTTATTAATCATGTAACAAGAATTGCTTTAATAAAATTTAAAAATTATTTGTACTTGTAATAAATTATTGATTTTTGTGTTTAACATAAAATATAGATATAAAATTAAAATAGATATTAGCAAAAAAACTATAAATTTTTGTAGCCAGATAATATATGTTAGTTTAGTGTATCTTTTATCTGAATAAAGAAAAAAAAGTTTGCATAGAATTGTCTAAGTAAAAAAAGTTTTAATGAAACATATATATTATATTGCTTAATCGCGTGACGTATGTTTGTGTGGTGGGGCACCATCATTTGTATAATAAATAATTTAAATACTGTAAAGTTGCGAAATAACGCTTATAAGTGTAATTTTAGAAATTGCATTCTTTAAAAATAACATGTATTAGCGTTGATATATGGACTTTAGATTAATTCATTTTGATTCTTTGTTTAAAAATGACACGTCTCGAAATAACATGTGGATGATTATATAGTACATCATTTATGTAGTAAAGGTTTCTTCTTCATCTATATGAATTGGTTATGTATCACCTTGTAGAAGTTTGTTTCACAGACACATTGTTTCACAGACAATCAGTTCATAGACAAGTTCATTTTAAAGACAATTAATTTACAGACAGTTCATTTTATAGACAGTTTATTTTATCGACAGTTTATTTTATCGACAGTTTATTTTATCGACAGTTTATTTTATAGACAATCTCTAATAGCAAATAACTTTTGAATCAGTGTTAAAGATTGTCTACAAAAATGAAATGTCTATAAAATGAACTGTCTGTAAATTAATTATCTTTAAAATAAACTTGTTTATGGATTGATTGTCTGTGAAACAAGATGTTTGTGAAATAAACTTCTACGAAGTGATACGTACCCCATACAATTGACTTTATGATTTTTCAACCAATTTTATCTTAGCTTGATCTAGTAATCTAATTTTGATATCATTTGAAGCATCTCATTAGATTCGATAGTACCAAAATCATCCAACATTAGTTATTTTTTTTATAAAATTTATATAGCTTTATAAAGTTATATAATATTATATAAAGTTCTATATAGATTTACAACCCATTGTAGACTTATATATTAAGAACTTTTATATAATTTTTATACAGTCTACCCTGTCAAGACCAGTATGCATGGTAGACGGATTTTGAATCAGTTTTGAGAAGTTAACAGATTTAAAAAACATATGTTTTATGAACCTACTAGTCATATGATTGGCTGAATAATATCCAATCTTGCTATACAGAATTAATTTAATTGGCTAGATCAAAAATATCAGATTTACTAGCAACTATGTTTTTTGAATATAGATTTATATTATGGAACGAACATGGTGGATCAATTTTTTATCAGTTATAGGAGGTTATCGGTTTTGACAGGGTGAACTGTATATAATTTTATTTTATTATTTATATATAAATATATAAAATCTATGTAAATTTTATTTATATTTATATAAAAAATAATTTAATTTAATTTGGCCATTTCTCAAAAATGTTCTAAGGAAATTAGTGTTCGATGTACTAAGTAAAAATGTCCAGCATTGGGGTGTCACATCGACTATTTAATCAAAACTATGTCAGTTACATTGATCATTTTACTATGATCCAATAAAATTTTATTTAAGTACAAAAATTCTAAAGAATATTGCACTTATTTTTCTGATTTTTATTGACTGAAAAGTGTTTATCAGAACCATCTCGAAGTAACTACTGTATGTTTGATTTTCGACTTCTACGTTTAATATAATTTTTTTGGCCTTATTTAATGAATTTTCAAATATTCTATAAGGCGAATGCTCAAAACCCACATATTAATAAAAGAAATTGAAACGTAGCTTTATTCTTTGACTTTATATAAACAACTGGTGAAAATTTCAAGTTAATTCCACGTCTTGACGATAAGTTGAATCATTTTAAAGATCGATAGTCTTTATTGTATAGTGATTTGCATTTGTGTAACGTAAAAATCTGTAATACGTGTACTGTATGATAAATTGCATAGTGATTAAATAACCGAAGTAACACCCCAGCCCAACATGCTAAAAACCTTCCCCAAACCCCTAATTTAAGCTTTAAAATTTAATTCTAGCTTTAAGTTAAAAATTTATATAATTCTATATATATACGAAGAAATATATATATATGTTCATGATATCACAGCTTGATCAAAACCAATAGTTACTAGTTAAAAGACGTAATATATATTTAATCTCAGAGCAATTGAGTAAATTATTAATTAATCAATTTAATAATCACTTATCATTATTTCAAGATTTTATTTGATCATTTATTAGCGTTATTGTTATATATATTTGAGTAGAGAAATGCAGATATTAAGAACGACATGAATAGCGTAAAATCAAGAATTGAGCTAGCTATAAATGCATTACACAGTATAGGATTATAGGCTTGGACTGTAATTTGATCAGCGGATTGCGAGTAGCAAACATATAATTTGTTTAAGTATAATGGAGAGAGCCAAGCCAAGGCTTTTTAAGATAGAAAATGTATTTAGTAATATTAAACCAAAGCATATAAACTTGAAAATATATATATATATACTCACATGCTGCGAGCCAAAAAGCCGCCAAAGCTCTAATGATTTATAAAGACAAAAGGTGAACAGTGAAATTTAATTCAAGCGCTTCGACAAAAGAAAAAAAAGGCTTCATACAGATCAATAGCAAATCCACTTTTATTAATTCTATTATTTTTATTATCTTTATGTTCTTTATATTTGCATAGAGATTTTAATCTATAAAGAGCCAAAGCTACAAATTTTATTACGGTAATTCGTTATTAAAAAAAAAAAATAGCATTGTATTCCATGATGATATATCTTAGCAAGAATCAACAAGAGTATAAATTATATACCTAATACTACTGAGGTGACCAAGCAAACAAACTCATAAAACCCTCGATATGAGAATGCATGGTGTGTTCTGAAAAAATTTAAAAGTGAATTAATACACTACGTTAAAACTCGATACTATACATGTCGTAGAAACTATTTCGGCATTAATTCTTAATATAACCCGCCAAAATATTCGGTGGTTTCGTATTAAGAGTCAATGTTGAAATAGTTTCTTCGGTATGTATACATAATCACGTTTAAAAGGACACACGTACGTTAAATAATAAAACGCTGATCCTCCATAAGTAGAGTTGGCATCTATCACATCTGTTAAGAGTGAATTAGAAATAAATATTTTTTGTTTATAAAATAGAAATAAAAACGGTAAAAACGACAAGAATTTTCGAAAAATAAAAAAAAGCAAACGCGTGTGTACCTAATATAATAATTGGAAGTAATAAAAAAATTTGAAAAATTTTCAAATTTAATAATAGTATTTCGCTCATTTTACTTTTAAATTATAAATTTTGTTTCGTCTTGTCGTTATTGATTGTTGAAGACACTGAAAAAAAATTAAAAACAATTTGCTTACAATAATTAATAATTATTGATCTTTATATATCTATTATAATTTATACATTTGGCAAACTGAATGACAAAAAATCTTCATTATATATATTACCATTTTAAGCGGTGATGAACATCACTTCTAGAAAAAAAAAATTTTTTTTTATAAAAAAAAATATAATTAGAATAACATTTTTACGAATGAGAATTGCATTTACGTTGATAAACAAAGTCGGGTTTACAAACTTTTACTTTAAACTGCATTCTCATAGAGCAGTAACAAATACATACTTTCGTACGTATTTAACATACTTATCCGATATATATATTTTTTTAGAAGGCATAATAAAACAAGTGATTATGATAATCTGTAATCCTGTAGTAACAGGTTTTTTGTGTGATAAACATAAAAACCATCTATATACTGGATAATAGCAAATAATTTCAATTTTTAGAAAAACTGTAGTTGAATATTGGCGGTTTTAAAAGGAAGGTGAACCGAAAAAAGTAAATTTTAAATAATAAAAAACAAATTGTTAACGTTATAACTCTCGAATTAGTCCGATCGTTGAATTTTGTGAATCATAGAATCCGGTATGTAGCCATTGTCTTTACATGCGGAATTCGTCGGATTCAAAAATTCAACGGTTGGGCTAATTCGAAAATAATGTGTGGCCAACGCCTAAAATTTCAACTTATCCAGAAACCAATTATACAATATAGCATTTTAATAATTGGGTTTTCTTATCATTATCTTTACTATCTTTACTGTTGTATTTTACGCTCACTAATACATGAATTGCGTCATATGTAGCTTGTTAAGTCCGACAAATTGAACGTGAATTTTATCGTTATTTTTTTTACTTTCTATTCAATATATATCGACATGCATAATTGAAATAAAAATTTGCCATTTCAAGTAATAACTAAATGCTTATATTTTAGTGAGTCGAGTTTTCGAACATTTTTTACGTGCTGAAGAACTTTTATTATCCGACAAACTCATGATCACGAAAATATTGTTATTTTTTTATTTTTTTTCATGTATTACGATATACTGTATAATGTTTATTCAAATTAAAACTCGGCCGATAACTCCCTACGAATCATGCCAATACTGGGCAAACGGTAATTGACAAATGACGTGCATTTAGCGGCACGTGCCCGTTTGCTAAACTGTAATTCTCAATACGTATGCAGACTTAGTTTCATTGATAGATTTATGGATATTAAATCGTAATACGTAAAGAAAAAAAATCAATACATAAAAAGTTTACAATACGTATTATGGTTTTAATTCTTTTACAATGTATAAATAATATTTAATTCGTGATTCGTGAAAGATGTGCAGAAATTCTATACATAGAAATGGGGATACCCATAATCCGAAGCCGGAATTAAAATTTGACTTTTGTCAAGTCAACATTTTTTGTGTTCTAACAAAAACCGTAGAGGCAATTTTTCTCTTTTTAATAGTGGCAAAATCATCAAAATCGGCCCAATGAATCTTGAGATATGGGCTGCCGTCAATAGAAATCAAGCAAATCTACATTTAAAAAAAATTAATGCCTTAACTTTCACAGCTCATCTCTCGATGAATTTTAAAGCTATCTTGATGCTTTAATTCAAAAGAAAGCTTACTATCTAAGCTTTCATTTGAATGTTAAAACATCAAGATAGCTTTAAAAATCATTGAGATATGAGCTATGAAAGTTAAGGCATTAATTTTTTTTTTAAATGTAGATTTGCTTGACGGCAGCCCATATTGTCATTTTTGTCTTCATGATTTCTTTGCAGATCTGCAAAGAAAATTTCATATGATCATGAAGACAAAAATGAGAATATCTCACAATCCATTGGGCCGATTTTGATGATTTTGCCACTATCAAAAAGAGAAAAATTGCCTATGGTTTTTGTTAGAACACAAAAGATGTTGACTTGACAGAAATTGATTCCGGCTTCAGATTATGGGTATTAACCTTCATGTACAGTATATATAGTATTACTATAGTAATTCTTCATATCTCCCGATTTTTTTAAAAACATGTATATTTTATCGGTCTTACTAAACATTACTATATCTTAAAAACTAGCCAACCCTTTACTTTTAATATAAACCCCTAACCATAAATTTTAATTTCGTATTATTCAATCCTGGCTTAAATATTAATAAAAAAAATATAATCATATAAATAACAGATACTGTAAATAGTTTTTATCATCCGTTAATATCAAAAACTATAGCTAAATTGTAAGTTTCTTCAGAATCTTTTAAGTTCGACATCGGAACTTTACGGAATTTATTTTCAGCCCAACTATTGTAATGCCAGACAACTTTAATGTCATAATCCACACATGTAATTAATACAAAAAATTGTGATTGCATACTCTATCTATCTTACACATACAATAAATGTTTTTATACACTCAATTAAATCACGACTAAAGATTTTTTTTAAACTCAAAAGTTGATGGAGATTATCAGATTTAAAAAAACAAACGTCTTTAAATATATCCACTAGCCAAACGATTATAAAAAAGATTGGTGGAATTACTGTTATATAAAATCAAATGAGTAGATAGGTATGCCAGATTTAAGAATTGATAAAATTTGTTTTTTGAGTATCGGTCACCAGAAATGGATTTTGGAACACATATAGTGGATCAAATTTTGATATATCGATTTTGGCTGTACATGATTTACTTAAAAAGTTTAATCGCTGTCGTACTTTAATGATCTACGAGTGTCTACTTATTAGAGGGGGAATGTACATGGATGGGGATTCAATCAACTTTTAGAAATCTAGAAAAAATTCTCATTAAATTATGATCTAAGAAATGATGGTGTATTTTCAATCTCAGTTAGAGCTTCTTCCTTAATTTTAGTCATAGAATACTTATATTTAGGATCTTTTTTGCCACGCTCGAGATATTCCTTCGTAACACGTTCAAAAATCTGAACCCGACGTCTTATTTCTTTTTTGGCGGATTCGTAGTCTTCATCGTGCGCTTCAATGACTTTTCTCCGTGATTCGACTTCTTCTTGTGCCTTTTTTGTTGCTTTGGCCTTTTGATCGTCAATACGTGCAAGTACGCACTGAACATTACGATTTTTATTTATTAATTTGTCATACCCGTTTTTTCTTCGCTTTTTCTCGGATGTTAGACGATCTGGAAGTGCTTTGGTTTTTTTATATAGTGTTTGTCTTTGTTTAATTTTATCTTCTTTTAATAGTTGGGTCTGGGTTAATTGAGGTGGACCATGGACTAAACTATATAAATCTAATTTTGGCGTAGGGAGACTATGGTGACATGTAATTTGCGAATTAATTTGTTTGATCAAACCTCAAATTATAAAAAATTGACTTTTTACGTACTCCGGCGATTCTGGTTCATTTTCTTGTTCATCAACTATTGGTGGATCTGTATCACTAGTAACATCAGGCTCACCTATTGTTTCAGTTGCAGTTTCTTCAATTTCTTTAAACTCCTCTTCAGCAATAGGTGATCCTACAAGTGTATCATTTTGCTCTATAAAGGATTTGTCTTGATTGGAATAGTTGTCATCGACATCCATTGAAAGCGTAGAATTTGACTTTTCATTGGCTTTGAATATTAAATATATTTATTTAATAAAATTGAATTTAATCCACCATAAGAAAAAAAAAAAAAAAACTTACTTATAATTATAGAGTTCATTCGTTCAAGAGAATTTTTACGTGTCAAATCACTCAAGCGGCGCTGAAATGGTGATGCCATAATTTGACCAAAAATCGATTGATCCTTTTGATTTATTGTCGGAGAATTGGACAATGATGGTATCTAAAATGAAAAACAAGAAAATCAACATGATTCATGAATACTAATTTTGTTGAAATAATCTAATTACCTGAGCAAAAGGTGGCATATATGGAAATGTCTCATCCACATCCATTGATCCAGAAGTAACTGGTGACTTAATAAACTGTACTACATCTTCCATTTCAACATCTAAAAAGTTTTGGGCGGGTGAAAGTTCCAATGATTTTGGCTTAGGCTTAGCTTCCAATGTATTATTCTCATTCTCTATTTCTTTATCAGCTTCGCCTTTCTCATATAACGAACTAAGGGCAATTGGAGGAGGCATTTCGTGGAAGAAATCCCAAGCTAATTTTTTTCTTACTGGTGGAAGAGTATCATTAACTTGTTTTATCATCATTTGCGTTTGATGATAAATCGAAAGTACTTCAAAAAAGTCATCAACCGGATTAATCGGTGGACCTTCATTTTTAATTTTTGAATTTTGTCCATGAAATGGAACACGGCCTACTCTTTGTAACTATATAACATCAGAGCCTGAATTATAAGTGCTAAACAACTTATTGATAATAATATGGTCGTAAAATAAATACTTGATCTGGATCCAAAGTATCTCGAAATCGGTTAGCGCGCGCAGTACGTTTTATTAACTCTTCAGAAGAAATATTGTTATGTGGTTTTGGTGACTTTGACCCCCCTTACAGTTAAAGAGTTTATAAGAATTGATAACACTAATAGAACATTAACAAGTCAATGATAAAAAAATAAAAAAATTAAAATTAAAAAATACAAGAAACCTTTTTTCGTAAGTCTTTCTGCTTGAGGGATCGGACTTCCTATTGCTACCGATGAAGTCATAAATGCTCCAATTTGGTTTGCATTTGGGCCACCACCAGGGTTCAGCGCCTTGCCTTTGGATTTTTTTACTATTATAATCTGTTAACTCTTGCGAAATATTTCACCATTTACAAAATATAAACATACACACCTCCTCCTCTACCTTGAGCTTTATTTATTCTCAATAAACCTCCACCCCGTTTTGTAGTCATAATCTAAGAAAATCAATACAGTACTATGAGTTTTTGAAAGAAAAGAGTAGAAAGGTTTAAAGATGCATTATATGGAATAACCTTCACTGTTTAGTTTAGTTCTTTTTGTCGAGAAAATTCAACCGTTTTTGAACGCAATTTTTAAAAAAGATGGCCGCTAATAAATCACGTGGTTGTGCAGCCGTATAAATAAATTCTGGATCGCGTCAACGCACGTAAACGGCGGCACGTATTTTTATAGTAGACATCTAATATCTGATATTTGATTTGTTGTGATAGAAATTGATTTTAGTCTCACAGAATACTATAATTACATAAAAATACCACAAAATCACAATACTGTAATCGTACAGAAAATAGTTAACTGAAATAAACATAGAATTTGTGCAAGTTTATATTTAGTTTCTAGTGTAGAACGCGGTTTTTCTATGATCATTAAAATTTTTCGTTTGATTCAATAAAGTATATTATATTTATTAATGAATATTAATAAAATATATTTTGCGCGTTTTATATTTTTTAACACTAAAATTATCGCAAAAAAAAAATTACTGAATGGTGCAAAAAACCAATTTTATTATTACCACTTATGGTCTTAACCTATTAGGCGATACAAATAAAATTTTCTGGTTTACATAACATACGAAAAATTTTTAGACCCAAAATGACCTTACGATATCATGTACCGTAAGGTCATTTTCAAGGCAAAGACCCCATATGTAAAATTTTTTATAAGGCCATGCAAACAAATAAAGTTGGTTCTCGTTACCCGGCCGGGTAACTTTTTTAGAAAAGTCAAAATTTTTTTTTATATAAAATTTTTTATTCTTGTATGAAAAAAAAAATTTATAAAATTTTTTTTATATGTAAATATAACATTTTTTGCCGGCCGGCCGGGTCCTATTTGCTTGTTGCATGTAACGAGAACCAACTAATTTAATTTGCATGGCCTAAGTAATTGTCAAATTAGTCAAATAACTATAGTAATAGAGTACTAATTTTCATTATCAGAGTACTACAGATACTCTGATATGTGAATAATTAATAAAACCAATGGTTGAAATTTCAGATCCGAAGGATGTTCTATAGAATAGGTGGGCAGACTCCGCAAACTCCGCAACTCCGCTAAATATTTATTAATGATTACTAATTAGTAGCGGAGTTTATTTTTAATATTGCCCACCTAACATCTTACGAGGATTCTAAAGCAAACTAAATTTTACTACAATTGTGATTATTGAATAGTAAGTATATACTATAATAAAATCCAATATATATTGGCCCAGTGGTACTAACCACAATATCTTCCAAGATAAATCTAACAATTAGCACAAACGTAGCATGAATTACAGAAAGCAAAACTTCAACTAGATTATCCTTGTAATTCAAGCAATATTATAGCAAAAGAAGTTACAATGACAACAAACCTTATCTATAACAACTTAGAGCCCAACACCTACACAAACATGCTAATAAATCTCAACTCTAGCCTAATTATATTATTATCCTTTATACTGAGAATACTCAATACACTCTATATAAATTAACCAAAACTATTATAAATAGCAGACTTTAATTAAATTAGTTACATCAAGACAGAATTATACAAATTAGTAATACAATTCCAAATATAGAATGAAAACTTTTTAACTAGCTAAAATACAAAAATAAACTTTGTAACAAAAACATAAGACCTTTTTAAGCAAAAATAAAAGCTTTTAAGATCAAATTAATAACAACTGAACCACTAACTTATACAACTTTACACAAAAGAAACCCAAAATTATATCTAACTCTAAACTGTATCTTTTGCAACAATTTACAAAAAAAACATACTGTATCTAATTACTTGTTTATACAATAAATAATATATTAACACAAACTTTATACAAAGTCAGTACCAAATATGATTTAATTTTAACTAACTTAAACTATTTCATAAATAAATTTATAAATATTAAAAATCTTTTTGAAAATTAAATAGTATGACTTTATTCTTCAACTTCAAAAACTAAAATTAAAATTTATTTCCAAAGTATATTACAAGATAATTAAACAAATTTATAACAATATATAAAAATTTAGTAGACAGAAACATGGCAGACATTTGTTTTAATTAGTCAAAAAATATAAACAAGTAAACAATATACATAATATAGATTATTATAGAGGAATTTACAATTAAGTGCCCAAAAAAGTAAAATAATTACATATAAGTGCCCTATTTTAAAAATTTTTACTATATCTCATGATACAGTGAACGAAATTTAATGGTTTGGATACTATTCGAATCGTCTCGTCAAGTTGGATCGGATGGTACCAAAATTGCTAAATTTAGATTACTGGATTACAAGTTATTCAACATTTTCTAAAATCCGTTTAAATCGTGATATCTCGTTATCCAGTAATTCAAATCTAGCAATTTTAGTACCATTTGATCCGTCTTGACGAGACGATTAGAATGGTATCCAAACCATTAAATTTCGTTCACTGTATCATAAGATATAGCAAAATTTTCTAAAATAGGTCACTTATATGTAATTATTTTACTTTTTTGGGCACTTATTTGTAAATTCCCCATTATTATATATATAGTTATATATATAAAGATCAATTATATTTAAAATTTTCTAAAAAACTATTTACAACTAACCAAAACTATTTTAGGCCAATAACCAAAACCAAGACTTCAACATTATGCTCAAAACTATACCAAAATTCTGAAACTAAGTTTATATGTAAAGTATAAGACAAATTTTTCTTATACTTAATTTAGTATAAATAAACTTTCTAGCAACCAATTCTTTAACAATCACTTTTCCAACACCAATCTATTTTTAATACAACTACTTCATTAATAACTGTTTTACCAGCAAACTCTTTTCTAAAAACTACATTTCAACAACTATTTATTTACAATACAGATACTTATCTAACAACTATCTAACTAGCAATAAAGATGTAGTAATATAGTAAAGTGGTAGAGTTGTTGTATTTTCAAGCTATCTTGTAATTAAAGAACCAAGTTCAAATCTCACTGGTGATAATTTAAACAAAACTACTTGTGTTATGATAACAGATCTTTATTAATAAGTTGGGTTTTATCATTTGTAACTCTGGTTACACTAGAGCCATCAGTATATTGGAAAAATTTAAAAGTATCTAAATAACATAGGTTGTACAAAAAAACCAGAATTGTAACAAACCTCAACAAAAACCTAAATTAGAAGTAGTGAGGATTACAAGAATACTATGGAACCAAACCGAACTGAAAACTAACAAAACTGGTAAAATTGAACAGCAAGATCCTATGATAAAGAATCTACCAATCTGACTATCAAAGTTGTACTGAAAAAAAAAGACATATGCTCTGAAAGTATGTACTAAGAGAAGAAAGTCTGTGAGATACTTAAAGCCTGAGTAGGTCAATGTCACTGGGCCAACTAGATTAGTGGTTTGAGGATATCAAGAAATTAGTTCAAGGAAAAGTAAATATGAAGTGGATATCTGGGTTTGTATGATTTTGAACTAATAAAAGCAGGAGTACATAATGAATGAATAATTAAAAAGAACATAGCTTAAAATATGACTATAGAATAATAGCACTTCAAAAGATAATGTGAGATATATATATAATATAGTAGCACAACAGAAAAAAGTTACAGAATATATATATAAAAACATGTGTGAAATATAAACTGTTGTATTAGGTTTGCTTTAAGAATAAACTAGTTTAGTAAGTTTTAAGCTAAATACAAAGCCTAATTAGATAAAAACAAAATCTACTTCTAAATAGTAAGTAATACCGAGAGTTAGAAGTCTCTATTGGAGAGAGTTTAAATAAGTATTCCTTATAGTTGGGATACAGGTATAGCAGATAATATAGAACCTTTAGGCAAACTACTTAAATTAGATATCTAAAGTGCATGTTTGGCTTGATATATTCTTACTGCAATTGAAATTAAACTTCTAATAAAACAAAAAAAATTATTTTAATACTAAAAAAAAAAAAACTATCTAACTGGCAATTATATTTTTAACAATTATCTCATCTTTAATAACTACTTTTTTTTTGATAACTATTTCTTATCTCAAACTACCAATTACTTTTTTATCAACACAAGTACTTTTTCAACAACACTTTTTTAACAATCTATTTCTATAATTCCTAATATATTACTATTATATTTTTCTACTATAATTATTTTTAGCATATTTAAGTATTAATAAATAAGAGATGTGTTAACTTAGTATAGTGGTTTAGTTGTTACTCTCTCCAAGCAGCAGATCTAGAGTTTGAATTACATAGACAATAATTTTAAAAAATAGATCTGTATATAATTGATAGTTATCAATAGTTGAATCTAGATCAATCTGTAATTTTGATCATATATCTAGAAATGAAAGCTTTGGTGTAATAAATCTAAAAAACCAGAAGTACCAAAAACCTATTTGGAAAGTTTCAAGTTAAGAGGTAGCATGATTTTTAATAATACTATAGAAAAATTAAATTTGAAACCAGAAACCAAGATCAGAGAACCGAATGATTAGATCTTTAAGTAGAAGAATATATTAGCTAAACCACTAAGTATAGATATATTAAAGAAAAAAAATATATACTCTAAAAGTATGTGCCAAGAGAAAGGCACCTATGAGGCATCTAAAGTCTAAGCAGATTAATCTTTCTGAGTTGCTAACTAGAAGTAAAGGATAAACTGATAAAGAATCTGAGGATGAAAGAAGTCTGAATGTAATACTGGGGTTGTGTAAACCTATTAAGGGCAGAAGAAAAAAACTGTAGATAGTTTGGTAACTAAAACTAGTTCTGATAAACAGGTGCTAGACTTGAGTAATTAGATTAAACAGTTTAGTAAACAAGATATAGCTTAGGTAAATAGATACTAAGTTTAGATAAACCCAAAATAATATTTCTAAAGATCTAAAAAACTCTGCTATACCCTTTTATTAAACATGATACTAATATAGCAGGTAACTGTTTT